GAGAGAGAGAGAGAGAGAGAGAGAGAGAGAGAGAGAGACTAAATCTAATTAGGGTTACTGGCATGGCCTTGGATAGGTATTATTAACTGGAGCATGGACAACCCACCAGCAGCCACACAGTTCAAGAAATTGACTACCATGACCCCCAGAAACCATTAATTGCCAATATCTCCTCATGGAGGAGGAGGGACTCACCTCTATCCTTCCTCTATCCATGGCTGAATGTCAACAAGCCCAGTCTGGAGTAGGTCTTGCGCAGACAGCTAAAGCTTATCTTAATTTGTGAGTGCATTAGCCATGCAGTGTCCAGAAAACCATTTCACTGAACTCTTCACTGGTTTTCTGGTTCCTATATTCTTTCTTCCATCTCTTCCTGAACTTTGGAGGGGGTGATAATCTAGACATATATATAAATGTCTGGAGTAAGTCTGAGCACTCAAGATTTACTTAGTCTCAACACTCTGACCAGTTATGAGTCTCTGAGCTGTCAACCACTGCAAACAAAACCTTCTCTGACCAAAGGTGAAAGCAGCATTAATCTATGGTTATAAACAAATATTTAGGAGACAGTGTGACACCAGGTTCCTTTAGAAAAAAGACAGCAGAAATTTCCTCACTGAGGTCTATGACTTCCCCAGCCATTGCTTTTGACCAGGATTACAGTAGCAGGAATGAATTCCCTCCTGTGAAGCAGGCCTCTATTATGATCAGAAAGCCGTTGGTTATCCCCAGAATAGTCATGCCATTATTGCACCAGTGGGTACATCTTGCATGACAGATGTGTCTTGTCACTCTATGGGGTGGACAGCTGGGTAAGGTCATTGACTTTTCTCCACTAACAGCCTACGTAACACCCCCCAACACTACGAAAGCTAGCCAGCAGAGAAGAATCTTCCAACTTAGGTCAATCTTGATTTCTCTATATTCCACAATCACTATACTTTCATGTCATGTATGCATATGTTAGTTTATATGTCTATATAAAATCTAGGAACCACATAATAAAATATGTGTATCTTTCTAAGATTGGCTCAATTCACTTCTCATGGTTATTTCCTGTTGCATCCATTTTCCTACAAATAACTTTACTACATTCTTCATTATGGCTGGACAGAATTCCATCATCTACATATACCACATTTTCCTTATCCATCCCCTTGTTGATGGACACCTAGGTCAGCTCCATAACTTAACTATTGGGGAGACTGCTGCAATAGACATTGATGTGTAAATATCTTCGTGGTATATTGACTTGAAGTCTTGGGGTAAAACTCCCATAGTGATTAGGACTGTTTTTAGTTTTTGAGGAACCTCTATTCTGATTTCCATTGTTAGACTGATACACACACACACACACACACACACACACACACACACAGGAACAACGGTTAATTTTTAATCCCTGAGTTACGTAACTTTTCCTGGGGACACATGAACGAGCATCTGTTCACTTCATGTAAGGTGCCAACAAAAGACCAAATGCCAGAGTAAATAAACAGTTGCACCAAAACCAGCCTGATGAACCAATTGGTTTGCTGCAGCATGAATTACTACGAAAAGGTACCTGCATCACTAAGAAGCCCACTCATAGTTGGTGACAACTCACAGAAGCTCCATCCCTGGCACTCTTTCCGCAGGTAGCAGGCAGCTCCACCAAAGACTCTTCTTTCCCTATGCAACTGCTTGCTGCCTATGGTGACCTGGAGACAGATCCCATGAGTCTTGTAACTTTCTGAGATTCTTGACTCTTATAACTTTGATTGCTTCCTGAGTCATATGACCCTCCGTCTAAAGGGGAATGTTTCACTTCAGGGAAAACAGCTACAGAAGCCCCACCTTACTAAACCTATAAGCAGCATTTCTTTGAAATGCTGAGTGATGAGTGGGCCAGGTGCCATAGCTCCTACTTGTGATGAATGTCTCTATGGGAGAACTCCAGGATTTCACCAACCCTTCCTTACAGAGGGGTGAAAACATCTCCTAGCATGCCTATAACCCCAGGATTTGGAAAGTGGAAGCAGGAAGATAAAGTGCTCAAGACCAGCCTGAACTACATAATGCTTTGTCTCAATATATCCAAATACACACACACACACACACACACACACACACATATATATATATATATATATATA